ATGTAATGTACCTGTGCAGTAGTAATGCAGCAAATTATGATCGAATTCAAACCATCTCTTCCAGGATTAAGGTAGATTTAACCCATTCACAGTCTAGTATATTTTGCAAGTAATTTTGTCTGACTATGAATTTCTTGCCTTTTCTTCGATCGAAATAGCGGAGGCTCTTTGTAGAGTCTTGAATATTCCACCAAATTCCGATCTCTATTCTAATTTATTGCGAAAAAATGGAAACTCCATATCCTCTGACCTTCTTGAAAAGATTGAGCGGATAATAGAAACAGATTATACCATGGAATTGCCAGGAATTGTATCCAGATATCAGACCAAATGTTGTAAAATTGAAGCAAAATAAATAAAAATTTAAATTAAATTTGTGGTCAACCATTCTGTTTGGCGTAATGGATTCTCGCAGTCTTCTGCTTCCTATTAGTGCGTCTAAAGAGGAGATCGTTTGCGCATTAGAATCTTCGGATACCCTAATCATCACTGGAGAAACAGGAAGTGGAAAATCTACCCAAGTGCCCATTATCATATATGAAGCCTTCCTCAGTGCAGCATCCAAAAATGCCATCATTTGCGTCACACAGCCAAAGAGAATAGCAGCCATGACACTTGCCAAAAGAGTCTCCTATGAAATGTCTGTTAAGTTGAAAGACTCCTCAATCGATACCAAACTTGGTGGGCTTGTTGGCTATTCTGTTCGGTTTGATGATAAGACATCATCGTCTACCAGGATCAAGTATGTGACAGATGGCATGTTGCTTCGAGAATATCTTATAGACCATACACTTTCCACATACGCTTACATTTGCATTGACGAAGTTCATGAGCGATCCATGAGGACAGATATCCTTTTGGGCCTGCTCCGAGATCTTCAGAACTCAAGAAAGCTCAAGATAATTCTCATGTCCGCTACGATGGAATATGAAAAGTTTTTCAATTTTTTTTCCAGGCCATCCCTTCCAAAAGAATTGAGCGTAAAGAAAGTCCATGTCATTGGGCGTCAGTTTCCGGTCTCGATTTTTTATACTGAAGAGCCTCAAAAGGACTATGTAGAGGCAGCCGTTTTGACCGTTTTTCAAATCCACTTTGAAAGTCCGCCTGAAGGGGATATTTTAGTTTTTCTTACAGGGCAAGAAGACATCGAGGCGGCCCGTTCCATTATAATTTCCAATAGCCCGAAGGACAATAATTGGAAAGGATCTCCTTCTTTGAGCATTGTCCCTATTTATGCAGCGCTTCCACCTCATCAGCAAATGGAGGCATTTAAAAGATCGCCCCCAGGAACAAGAAAAGTGATATTGGCAACCAACATTGCCGAGTCTTCAGTTACCATTCCTGGGATCAGATATGTTGTTGACTGCGGGCTTTCAAAGTCTCGGGCTTTTCATAGCAATTTTGGTAAGCGAAAGCGACAGAAGTTTATTTGTCTACTTTAGGCCTGGAAAGTTTGATAATATCGCCAATATCGAAAGCATCTGCTTTACAGCGTGCAGGTAGAGCGGGAAGAGAGGTAACGAGCGTTGAAATTTACGGTAGGGACCCGGTTATTGCTATCGCCTTTATACTGAGAGTTGCTTTTCCTCTCTGGTTCCTTCTACGGTTCCGGAAATCAAAAAGTATTTGCAATTTGTAACCGATCGATAGGGCCAATTTGTCAAACATCATTTTGTTCATGAAAGCATCTGGAATCTCCGACATTCTTTCTTTTGGTTACATAGACCCGCCACATCGGTCTTCTATTGTATCTGCATTGGCGTCCCTGCATTCTCTTGGCGCGCTTGATAAGTGTGGTAACATTACAGAGCTTGGGAAAAAAATGTCTTTATTCCCGTTGGATCCCTTTCTTTCGAGGACCATCTTGGCAGCGGGAGATCTTCAATGTGCAGAGCAAGTTTTGTCAATTGTGGCTTTGCTTTCCGTTGAAAATCTAGTTTTCAAATCCAAAAAAGAGCTATCAGTGGAGGTTGACAGCGGCGATTCTTATGAGCCAATTAGCTCACTCGATACGGAACAGAACGTCCCTGCTCTTATTGACTTTTACCATCCAAGGGGTGACCATCTTACTTTGTTGAACATTTACGAGTCATACGCCAAAGCAACGGATAAAAAAACGTGGTTCAGCTCCCATCCTTCAATAAACAGAAAGTCATTTGTAATGGCATTGAGGACTAGGGAGCAGCTCTGGGGGTTCTGCAAAAAGGCCTCCATTACAACATCGTCAAATGCAGCGGACTCGGAGACAATTCTGAAGGCATTTATTGAGGGCTTCTCTTCAAATATTTCTGTACTCACACTGCCTTCTAAAAGATATAAAGGTCTGTCGTCAAACCAGGTATTTTAACGCGGTCTTATTGTGATTAGGAAGTTTCCATCCACCCTTCTTCGGCTCTTTTTTACAAAAAGTCTAAAGCCAAATATTTAATGTTTAATGAACTTGTATTCACATCCAAGTCATTTATGAGAGGGGTTTCCATCATTGATGGGCTGATTGGAAAGGAAGCTGCAATGTAGTATACGGATTGAAGACTGGGGTTAAATTAAGCATAAGTTATCTAGCAAAAGCTCATGGCATATCTTTGAAATTTTGTGTTCATCAATGCCCTCCTCATCAAATAAAACATTTTTCATATGCGAGGGGTCAAGTTTGCGGTTATTCGTTAGCAGAAAACAAAAATATAACTTGTCCATGGCCATACTTCGTATCTGCTCATATGGGCTGCTTACACCAAATTGCTGCACCAACGAGCGCAAAGCAACATTTGCACCGTGGAAATAAATGTACAATTCAGTGGATATCTCCATTAGCTTGAACATCTTTTTTTCATTTTCAAAGCCACAATTTGCCATGCAGTTCAAGCCATCGATCAAGAGCGAAACGTGTCTAAGTAAAATACACAAAGCTTACTGAGAGCAATCGGGACTGGCCAGGAATGATCGAAGGCCATCCATTGAAAAGAGAAATAGAAAAAATGAGCAAAATGAATCAAACGCAATGCTATTCAGCTTACACTGAGCGAAAAGTTCAAAAACGAGAGGATAAAGCGACCGATCGAGTTGTAACGAATCCAAGATTTCGGTGTGCAAAGGAGATGCAATGTCCCCCAAAAAGAAGATTATCCCCTTCAGAATGGATGCCTTCAAAGGGGACGGGAAAAGGTGTAGATTGGACACAATCGACGAAAGAGATGGCGATGGCCCAACAAACGGATATTTTTGTGCTATATTCGGCAACAGCTTGATGGCAGAATTTCTTGTAACCTCGTTGCGGTCAAAGCAGAGTCTCAAAATGTAATGCTCGGCATTATCCCGCGCAGGAGAGGGGGGTGTAAAGACCGAGCCCAGTTCCATTGTTAATAACAAGGCGAGGTTTCTTATCTGGTATCCTTGCTCGCCATTTTTGGTGTATTTGTAAAAAAAGATGGCCGAGTTTAGAGATTCATACACCTGATCGAGTAATGCCTCACTGACCACATGGGTGCATTTTGGCATCAAATGGCGCAAACATTTAATGGAATAAAGAGAAAGCACGTGAGTATCGGAAAGAGAAACCGTCTATCGTGGTGGTTAATTAAACAAGCAAAGTACCTTTATGAAAAAACAAAACCGCATCAACACACTCAGGAGATCCGAATTTCTTTCCAGTAAATAATCACATGGGAAGTACGAGAACATCAACAAATACCCAACCTTTACGGATGAAGACGAAATTTTAGCAAGCAGAGCCGAAAATATCTTTTGAAGCAAATCGCCATTCTTTGCTTTGAGGCGATCGGTAAAAAGGGAGAACCCACGCTGGGCAAACGGATAAACTGCCCTTTCAATGAAATTAACGTTTTCAATGTCAAATAGAAATACACAAAACCTTGCAACGTGAAGGGCAAGGTCGTCTGTGATGGAAAAGTGTGGAGCCTCCCGCATCAAGACCTCAAGTAGCTCGCAAATAGAACATAACAGAGGTATGGCATCGGAATTTTCCAAAAGAAGCTTTGTTGATGCCCAGGAAAAAGTAGTGCATAACAAGGAAACAATGGACTCGCGAAAAGGTACCAATGGACCCGGGAAATTCAAAACGTAATATTTCAAAAGCAAAAAGGCCCCGTGTTTATCTGAATAGCTGGGCGATAATATACGAGGAAGCTAAAGTTAATACAACATCAAGACACTACCAAGTATTTGAATTCGTCAACATTAAACTGCTCAAGCGAACTAAAATTTTCGGACGATAACACTCGGATGCGAATATCCCAATGAAAAGCACCTATTTCAAGAAGGTTCTTTCGAAGTGCACATGCAGCTGAGGGGTGACTAAAATCAAAGCAGGCGATTACCTATCAAGATCAACCATGCTTGCTCGAAGGCACTCTTTCGGATTGCTAACGGAATAATAATTGATCAAAGGCAGCAGGTTAATGTAATGGTTAAGACCAGCTTTTCGGCCAACGAGCTCTTGAAAAGCAGAGGCAGCAGCACGACGGATTTGGATTTCTCTATCGACAAATGAAACCGATATTAGAGCGTCCAACAGGCGCTGGAGATGCTCCGTGTCGTTGAAAGGGGTATTTCTTGCAAAAGACCATGCACAAAAGCAGGCTAAATCTCTAACATTGACACCATGTGCGACACCATCTAAGAAAACCTCAAAAAAAAGGAGCTATAAATCAGATTTGCCCCCGCGAAAACGAACCTTATTTACAGACGAAATAATCTCTGGTGATGGCAAGGTCAATGAAAGTCGATAGATTTGCGACAAAAGCAAAAGGCATCCACAGATCCCCGAAATGATATCAATATTCCAGGAACAATGCGAGGAAGAAAGAGTTAGACTGCAGCTTTCAATAATGAAAGTTTTCTCTGCACACCCGAGCTTTGCAAAAAGGCGCGATAAGGTCCGAGATGCCGTATATCTTACTAAAGAATCCTATACGCCAATAAAGATGCCGATTAACGTACCCTACACTTTAAACTTTCCACACAAGCTTCCAAAATACGGCTTTTGGAAACAACATTTTCTTCAAAGCACAAATAAAATGCAGAATACAACTTTAGGAGCACTCTTTGGACGGCAGTGCACTGTGGGCTTATACATAGTTTCTCCGATATGGCAAATACCATTCGCTGATCTAAACACTGACTATCACATGACTTTGCATAATAGTATAGCAGATAAGCACACCCAATGGCTTGAGAATCCTCTAGCAAAGGGGCTCCCTCATATAAAAACGATAGCAATTTCGTTTGGTCCCACCCGTATGTGATTGAATCTGGTCTTAGAGAAAGAGACACCAATAACTTGCAAAGGCTCTTTTGAATGGGCGAGTTGCAAAGGGCTCTTTTTTTAAAACATGAAAGAATGGATGTAAAGATGGAGCCCTAGGTTTTAAAATACACACGACCAACCTTTGAGGGGTCCAAATCAAGCAGCTTAAACGGTAGTTTCAGTAGCTGATCCATCCAAAGAACGGTACAGTATTTGAGTTCGATGAGGTCTTTACAAGATCCCGATTCAAGTACATATAGTTGGTAGGTCACATTCAAATTATATCTGAACCACTCGATTGACGTGGGAAAATAGTGAGAGAATGCCTTATGGCCTCTGATTCGGGAGCAAAGATAAAGGAGGTTATAGCAGAAAATGGACCGAGGATCTTCATATGCAAGCCCGGTGGAAAAATTTGCAAAAATGCGCTCCACAATGGGATGCAAATACGCGTCAAATACAATTGCATTGTTTGAAAATCCCTCAATTAAAAGGTAGAGCCTGCTGATTGGATCAATGGGCTTGGTGATGTTCTTGGCCGCTGAAAGGCTCAAGACAGGACGCGAGTGGAGAAGCTTCCCATCAAATATCTGAGACAAAAGATTGTCGACATTCGAGGGAGAGGTATCCGGCACATGCATCTGCTCTTCTTCGGCCTGTTCATCGATGCTGTGATTGCAGGACATGCCACTGCCCGGTAAATTAAAGTTTAGTAAACTTTAATTATGCAGCCGACATCCTTATGTACCGAGGGATCTGTACAGCCGTTAAACATAGTAATCAGCAAGTATTCTTTGCAAGTTAAGCTGAATGCATAGAGTACGTATTGCAGCCCAATGGCGGTGGGATATCGATGAAGACGAGCTATGTGGGATCTGCCGGTCCGCATTTGGAGGTTCATGTCCTGAATGCAAGCATCCGGGCATAGGATGCCCGCCTGGTAAGTTTGACGCTGCTGAAAATTAGTTATGGGGCAATGTAAGCATTTCTTTCATGTCCATTGTCTTGGACGCTGGATAGAGACATGTCCACAGTGCCCGCTTTGCCGCCGCGTATGGCAGGTTTCCACGGAATGGCCGAAATAAATTGTTTATATTTTATTCTTGGCGAAGACATGGGTGTAATGGCAGCCGATGCCGTATCTGGCCTTTTGACGTACACGGTCATTCTCTTGAATTCTTTTCTGGCATTGTATTTCTGTCTCGCCTTGGCGCTGCACCCTTCCACTCCCTTCCTTTTGATCCCATTTCTGGGTATTTGCGCATTGGCTTACCGCCGGACACCGTAGAAGCCGAAGCGTGGAATTTCGAGTTTTCCTTTTTTGCCCGCTCAATTACCTACCGAAAATAAGTGGTGCAGGTATGTGCAACCTTTTCGTCAAGTCGAATATACTTGATGGTGACGCCTCTGATCATCACTTCCGGGAGCTTCCAAAACGTCTCTCCATCCTACTAGTCAGCTGATCAGAGAATCTCACCGAGGAGGTGTATATGGCATCTGAAAGGTGCAGGTTCATCCACGGATCGACATTGAGGAGCTTGCCGTTGTATGCCTCGCCGTTTTTTAATTCAACCAGCTTGGGTGTAAGAAGGGGACACGCTTACCAGGGGAACGCCCTTTGAGATGGAAAGCAAGTTGATCGGTAGCTAAGCAATAAAGATTTCAAATACAAGAAAGCCATTTGGGCCAGAACAAAAGGCCACTTACCACCATCGGAAAATTTAAAATTCCCCATAAAATTAGACATTGTAAACTTCGAGTACAACAACTGCAATGACAACTACACTCCCATGTGGGGACGGTATTGTTTATTTTGGACTTTGACGCATCCTCATCAACTAATTGACATTCATCATCTTTTTGAATTCTTCAAAGTCGATGAGATTGTTTCCATCTAAATCAGCGTCCTTGATCATGCGCGCAACATCAGCCCCACTTGCGGGCTCCCCAAGATTCTTCAGCACTAGCGCCAGCTCTTCGGACGATATGAATCCATCGCCATTTTTGTCGAACACGTCAAAAGCCTCCTTGAGTTCAGCCTCGGCATCTACATCCTTGACCTTGCGAGCCATCATGGTAAGAAACTCAAAGAAATCAATTGTGCCATCCCCGTCGGCATCGACCTCATTGAGCATGTCTGAGATTTCAGATTCGCTTGGATGCTGACCCAATGCATGCATCACTCGACCGAGCTCTTGAATGGTGATTCTTCCATCGTTGTTCTTGTCAAAAAGCGAAAAGGCTTCTTTCAGTTCAGCAATCTGCTCCTCGCTCAGCTGGTGCTGTCCAGTCGAACGATTGACGGCGGACGGCGGCTAAGGTTACCCAGTCAGCGATCACCTACCGATCCCATTCTGATGCAATTAAAAACAACAATTAAATGGACTATTAAAATGTATTACACCAAGGTGACGGCCATGGCGCGCGTGACCCAACATTATGTATTTACTTTTAAATATTTCGACCGCCACCGTAAGAATAACTTTCATGGAGAGGTCAGACATTGATGACGGTCGAATGACGGATGGGAATAGCCCATGGGCGACGCATTGAAATAGTCCATTTCTCGCACACAGCTCTTTGGACGTGGTTTGTTGTGATTGTTTATGTGAACACAATTGCCAACTAGGTATCGATCAGTCAAATATACTGGTATCCAACGGATATCGTCGATCGCCGAAATCAAATCCACCCAGTGTAGATATTTAAGAAGCCAAAGGTATCACTGCTCATCATGTTCTAAATGTAACCACCAGGCTGCTCGCTCATGCCATGCCATGCCACAAAATCATGTTAATTTAGTTGCTATACATGAATCGATTATTCAGCAGGGGAACCCATCAATAAGCACGATTTCCTTGTCATCATTCACAGATGCAGCCGCTGATCTCGCCGAAGCGATATTAGCTGGAGAATCCTGCAAAGTGATGTCCACAGTGTGGTTCAATTGGCTTGCCGAACTTTGCGGGGGAGAATCGATGGCTGGCTGCAGAGACAAAATGTTGATGCATGGAGCGCTCGATGCCATATCGGTCACATGTACACTTTGCTTGAGCATTTCCGAAAGAATCTCTTTCAAAGTGGCCCTAGAGTATTTCATCTCTTTCGGATCAAACCAGTTTTGAAAAGATACACGTTCTTCGATCTGCCGAGCAACCTTTTCTGGATCTTGAAAGAACATATATGCATAGTTGAGAAGAAAAAGACCGCAGTCGGCGCTATTTTTTTGCATGGGCGCGTTGATGTATCTAGTATTGATCAGAGCGGAGTTTATCATCCAAACAGGGTCTGTACCCGCTTCAGGGCAATCGGTCTCCAGCAACGAGGCTTCTTGCTCGATGAACCTATCCAATTACAGCAGGAGAAACTGACCTTTTTAATATGCGAACAGTTCTAAACTTGTGCTTCCCGCCAAGAGAGTCAAATATGCATATTCTCGTCAACGGGGGCTCTGCACCAATCTGTATTTGTGCATGATCTTCATTGGCCGCAATTGAAAAATCTGAGCCAAAATCCTCGTTAGTTTCTACTATTTCAAGAGGTGATTCGCCATCAGGGGAAGAGGGCTGCTCCTTCTTGAAAAGTGATGCAGAGGGATTGCATATGATGCACAGATACCAGTGATTGCTATGAAAGAAACGGTGATAAGTACCATTCATTTACAGGAATGACCACATAGTTATAGAAGAAGATTCGCATCGGCTTATATACACGACCTTCACCTTCACTCAGCAATTGACGAAAGAAAAACGAATTTGTGAGTCTGATGCGTGGCCTCATGTTTTCCAATATCTTATGATCTGATTCTCCGCACAAAGCGTTGGGGCTATCTTGATTGAGAAAAAGCCTCAGGAAAAAGTCAACAATGGTATCATTCAAGAAAACACCATCGTCTAGCCTAAGGAACTCCTCTTCCGTAATGGTATATGCAATCCTGCCGCTGAACCGGTAAAGAAAAAGACTACCATCAAATTTTTTTCGTACCTTTTATGAGAAATCTGGGATAGACAATCTTGGGCCACGCTTCCATCATCAAGGGCAACGCAGTCTGCATCGTAGCGGGCTCTTTCTCCTTTATTGGAGACTCTGCTGCTCGATCGCCGTAAAGGGCTAGCTTTCGTGCTGTACTTTCGCAAAAGACAAGATCGAGTCTCTTGAAAAATCTCCTCTTGTAAAAGTGGCGCCCTGCATTCGTCGGGATACTCCGAAAAAAGGGTGCAAAGATGCTCTTTAGATGGGCTTATCTCTAAAATGGAAAATGCAGAGTATCATACCAATGACCGATCCGTAAAGCCCTCCCAACTTGGCATAAATTTCCTCGCATGTTATCTGGGTGGAAACGGTGAGCAGAATCTTTTGGCCTCGGATTGGAGAATCTTAAAATTGAACATTGTACCGTGATACCTTGAAAAAGAAATCAATCTTTTTACCTTTTTCGAATAGACGATGTTCCGAAGCGGATTTAGGCAAGCTATTGGCGTTATTTTCGGCCCCAGGAACACCCACAAGCAGAAAAACAAGGGATGGAAATCCGGCATCCGAGTTTTTAGCGACCTATGGTAATTCTAAAAATAAATACCAAAATCCGATCAATTGACGCAAGCCCTGCTGAGCACTTCCAAGCAGCAGAGTCGGAGAGGCAATTGTGTAAAACCAAAAATTCGATTGAAATCCCATGCTGCTCGAAAACCAACGAGGCATGGAGCTCCGCACTCACAAACTGGGTTGCCTGTTTTGCGCTGAGGAAAGCGAGCAAGACTGTAATGTTTTTCCCTCCCCGACAATAAAACCCTGACGCAGACAAGAGAGAAATATTTGTAACCACAAACTTGAGACTGCGCTGCGAACAGACTGGGTGTGTAAATTCAGCGGTAGAGTGATCGTCCTCGCTAGCTTTCACAGCGCCATCATAGTTTGGAGCTGGTGTTTTGGCAAGAAAGTCTTGAGAGTCATCGGCTTTCGTATATGCGGCAGGTAAAAGTGAATGCATGGGTACAAATCCTTCCGGGGCCTGTTGAACAGCTCTCCTATGTCTGGCAAGTGGTATTTCCCGGCTTGCCCATTGGGCCGGTAAGGGGGCATTTTGCAAATGTGGCCCAGAAAGATTAATCGATTTTGAGGACGTATCGAACGAATTGGTTGCCCGTGAAAGCGGATTGGAGACAGGCATGGGTATCCGCCGCGCCGATGATGGGGTGTCATCATTGGAGTCCATGAAACTGAAAATCCAACCCTAAGTCCAAAATGTATGGCTTGAAACTTTTATTGCCAAGCCTGGTAGGCTGTATTCACGAACTAGTTGACATCGAAGCCTGGACGATAGTAGCAAAGTCAGACGTCAAAGAGGCGCCGCCAACAAGAAAGCCGTCAATATCTGGTTGCGTGGAGAGGACCTCGCAATTCTTGGCGTTCACAGAGCCACCATAGATGATACGGATCTGCGATGCAACCTCCACACCGAGATTCTCTGCCAATGACTTGCGAATCAGTGCATGTATCTCTTGCGCCTGTGAAGGTGTGGCAACTCGACCTGTGCCAATGGCCCAGATCGGTTCGTAGGCCAACAGGAGGCGTTCGAGGATCTTTGTGCGTGCAGCGGCATCCCACGCCTTTTCAATCGATACAAAGAGGGCTTTAAGCTGGGCCGATACATACTCCCAAGTCATTCCTGCTTCACGTGTCTCCAAAGGTTCCCCAAAACAGAAGATCACAGAGAGCCCGCTATTGACAGCACTTGCGGTTTTCGCACACACAAGCTAAAGGAAAGAGAACACTCGTACCTATTTCTATTAAAAATTGTCGCTACCTAACCACAGTTATTTTAAAAACTAACCTCATCGCTCTCGCAAAAAAGGGAACGGCGCTCTGAATGTCCCACGATGGTCCACGTCACGCCAAGCTCACGAAGCATTTCAGCGCTGGAATCAAAGGCGTTGACTTACCTGTGCTCGCCTGTGAATGCACCAGAAGCCTTTTCATTCAGATTCTGTGCAGAAACCGCCATGATGGCCCCAGGAAATGTATTCATAGCTGGAGCAAGAAATGGGGTCGGTGGAGCAATCACAATATCCACTACGAAAGTGAGAAGCCGAGGGCACCTTTTGCAGGGTCTATTTCGTGACGTTCTACAGCACCTTTGAACTCTGCAGCTACCTGTTTGATTTTCAGCAGAGTGCCATTCATCTTCCAGTTTCCACCTACAAAGGGCTTTCTAGAGTGTGCGAGTTCCATGCAAAACAAGTAAAATTTAAAAACCGTTTAATTTGACCACCTCATCATTTAAATGGGGACGCGTCCACAATTTGTAATTTCATCAGACCTTAGCCTAGGGTTAGGGGTAGAAATCATCCAGCACACAAATAAAGCTGGTTGCTTAGTCAATATGGAAACGCCGTTTTTCAAGTCGGTACGGCGTTGAGATGGAGTTTCGCCGCGGTTTGATGTTTGGATGGGGAATCGGCATTTTTTCTTTTTCTTTTTCTTTATCTTCATCTTCATCTTTAGCATTCCCATTTCTGCGAGATCTACGGCGGAAGCAGCAGAAAAGGCGCCGAACTATCCAAAGCGCCAGTTTGTATATGCGGCGCCATCGATGCAAGTAGATAAAGATGTAAATGATAAGTACGGCGATCACCACCAAAAGGACGATGATGACAAAAATCAGGAAATTGTGGTTACCCTGGACATCATGAGGGTCGTCACCCTTAAACCTGATGCCCATGGAAGATTCTGAGGAGAAATTTTTTACCCAGTTCAAAATGCGGATGATGCTTGCAGTGGTACCGGACTTTGGGAACCCTTCTGGCGGCTTGACACACTTGCGCTCACGCACCATGATTTGGGCCGTGGGTTCGAGACCTAGAAATTCCCTGGTTCCGTTCGCTTCAACATTCAGTGTAGTTTCATTTTCGCCGCTTTTTTTTCGGGCCGCGAAACAGTCAAGTATGGGTATCGGGTCGCACTTGGGCAAAGGGCAGAGAGCCGTCAAATTGTGATCAGCCCCAGAATTTTTCTCCTTTAAGTCACACGCTGGCCCTTCAAACCCAGGCATACATATGCACTCAAATGCGTGAATACTGTAGCTCTTTTGCAGCATCCGTCCATTTTTGCAGTTGGCGATATCACATCTCGGTCTCGATAGGTCGGATGAAATCCAGCCGTCATAGCAATAGGCACAAAAAAGCGTTCTGGGATCTGTCTGCCCGTGTTGACAAACAGAGGAATCGCAGAAACGCCCCTGGCCAATGCGGCACGAGCCACTTAAGCAAGAACCATCGAGCGAATTTTCATCCAGGATCCCATGTATGCATCGTGCGATGCGCGTACATTTGGGTCCATATCGCCCCAAGGGACATTGCAAGCACTTTTGTGTGAGTGGATCCATCTCTGTAACAGGATTGCATCCAGGAGTCGAGCAATCTGGCCCAGACCAATCTCCCAAGCAGGCAAGACAGAGCGGTTCTTCCTTGGATGAGAATTCTCTCCAAAGCCATTGGGAAGGTTTTGAAGATCCCCCCTCAATAAGTGCCTTCGGGTTAAAAATTCCATTCTTGCAAGCCATTTCTTCACAGGTTAGACTTTTCAACCAGCCATCGTGACAGCGGTAACAACCGCCATTCTCCAAATCTGGAGAGCCGTGTATGCATAAGGGTAAATTGCAGAGATCGCCAGTCCAGCCTGGCGGGCATTGACCGCAAGTATGACTGGCAATGATTGTGGCATAGCCTGGACGCCATGGCGGCTTCAGTTGAACTTCCACCCCGAAAGTGTCCGTTATCTGAGTGGTATTTGAAGCAGGGCACCATTTGCGTGGCTTGTCGCAGGCCTGGCCACCCCAAAAAGAAGGATTGCAAGAACCCTCCTTGCAATATCCATGTTCAAGGTCGGGAATCCCATGCACGCAAATTGGAATGTCGCAATAGTTGCCAAGTCCGGTGTTCGGCACTGGCAATGTCTGCCAGCCAGGCAGGCAGCCATGTGAGCAGCCATCCTGGATCCCCAGGGCGGGGATAATGCATCGTGTTTCATTACAAAACCGCCCAAAGTAGTACGGTGGGTTGCAGCGGGGCCTATTCAGGGCCTGATCGACCTTGCATAATCCTTGTTCACTCTCCAAATCGAGATCACCATGTATGCAATTCGATTTCCATTGGCAGAGGTGGCCATGGTGCCCTGGGCTACATCGCCGACACCTGCTACTATCAGGATCCCACTCTAAGCACCAAGTTCGTTGACATCCCGTCCCATAAAAACCAGGAGGACAGGCCATTTCCTCAGGTACCTGGACCCCCATCCTACGGAACGAATCTACAACTGATTTTTCGGAAGACTTCATTAATGGACCCTCTATCGTCTCTTTGCAGAAGGGCAGCTCTGGATTTCCATGAACGACCTCGAGTATGCCCTTACGAATATCATCCGGTTCTTGCGTAACCCTGGATTTCCAACAAAAGCTACACTGCCCAAAGTCATTCTCGCTGGGAACAAGTAGCGCATCGGAAAAATTCGGGTTCAGATCTAATAGCTCTTTTCGTTGAAGGATTCGTCTGATGATAGCTAGATGGTTCTGCTGAACTTTTCTCTTAACACCCTCAGGTTCGACTACTGACTCTGTTACCATGAAAAGATCTTTAGCACCGGAGATACGTTGTACCCGTATGCCGCCTGGCAAGCATCGCAACGGAGAAAAGCTTGTTGGTAAGATGATCTCTGATCTAGGCAAAGTTTCCTCGAGAGATTTTTTCCAATGATTGTAATTATCGATGGGGAAGATCCGTCTCTGTGCTTCTGGAATCGCTTCAAAAAGTACTTTAGTGAGATGGTATTCCGTGAGTTTGAAGACGAAGCGGTCTGTTTTTTGATCCCGCTGCGAAAAAACGAGCACACGAAGCAGATGCATGAACCCTACAGGCAGGATATCCTCTGCTCGCCGTTCTAAACTTGCCATTCGATGCTGCAATAGGGCAGAGGAGGCGCTGTGGGCTTCACCAGCTTCGAGTTTAAGAGCTTCAAGAAAGGACTCTAAGAGGCTGCGCCCATCGCTTGCTACCTTTCTCCAGGAAAGCCAGGAGGTACTAGATGCCTCAATGAGCGGTTTTAGCTTTTCACCCTCAAGAACCACATCCATTGAGAGAAACCGGATACGGCTGACAAGTGCTTGCAGGAGACTATCTACATTCTGTATTAGGTCAAGGGCGTTCGCTGAAAGTGTTGCTGATTCACCTATTGCTAGTAGCGCCTGAACAAGCTCATCACGATTTTCTGGAAAATACCGCGGGATAAGGTTCCCAGAGGAACTCATATCGGACACCTTCTTCAATATGTGGGCACACGTCCATTTTTCGCAGTAAGGCCCCTTAAATCCAGGCCTACATTGACACCCGACACCCGGCTCTGGGTCAAGGACACCATTTCCTTGACTTTGGGCAAGTGCCAGTTGCGCTAAGGTCAAAGGGACACCTCCACGTGTGGAGCACAATGAAAAATCACATCCAGGCGCTCTAGCCATTGCTGGATGGAGACATTGACTGTCTTCCTTGGATACTTTTGCTTCAATCGATAGCCACCCTTTAACAAGGGCATTTGGAGATATGGGCGCCGCTAATCTTTCCTTCCTGCCTGTAGAATGGTAAACAATGTTATTCCCGCCAGAGTCTGGAAAAAGGCTAGCTGTGCCTGCACGTAGATCCATAAGCAATGCTTCAATCCAGTGTGCTGTTTCCAGCACCTGTGAGGGTATTTTATCCGGATCTGGGAGACTCGACTGAAATAGGACCTGGTTTGGCTGCACAATTAATGGCTGGTCGCAATATGGTCCCGTCCATCCGGCTATGCACGTTTCCTCGTAGCAATAGAGAAGCGGATGCATCATATTTGGCAATCCATGCTCGCAGGCCAAGTCCCAGCAGTACGGGCCCCTCCAACCGGCCTTGCAAATACCAAGCTCACGATTTTGGAAGTTTTTTTTAAGCGAATGAAGAGGAGATGCCTCATCTGTTTCCGAAGAGGAAGAGGCTTCAAGTTGGCAGAAAGGACCATAAGCATCCTCGCGCCTGCAAGGCGTTCCTTCCAAGCAAGCCCCGGAGCCTGAATCTAGATCTGGAATGCCCCACTCGCAGCGTGAAACCCATTGGCAAAGCAAACCAAATCTTTTCAACGTGGTGCATTTGGCGCATTTGATATAAAGAATATCCCAATGCTCGCAAAAACTCTCATTGCAAAGTGGCCCCCAAAAGCCCGGGAAGCACGGCCCACAAAGCTTAAGATGGGGGTCCCAAAGCCCATGATAACACGGCAAGTCATCTGCATCCAACTCACAGTATGGATTGAAAACCTGGTTTTTGTTGTCTAAAAGGGGCTCCCCCAAATTTTTTTGGTGACTTTGTGTTTCCGGTTGATGATAGCATGCTGAGCAGCGCCCATCCTGTGGGGCGCGAATGATAAAATTGTCCGTACTACCACTGAGCAGCCTCCACATTTTCAACAAGTTTTTGTTCAAGTAATCACTCTCATATGAGCACCCATTTGAGCTCTCAACCGCAACAAGTTTGGGTGGGAAGGGAAGTAATGCACCATTTTCGCTGAAATGGTCTATGCGCATCCCATCCGATCTGCAGATAAATCCGAATTGGCAGAGAGGAACATCGCATGCAGCGCCCTTCCAGCCTTGTTTGCACTGGAGGCAGTATCCGGTGGCTGTATCTAACATCCCATTAGCACAAATCGGTTCAGAACATTCGGAACCTCGCCAACCATATTTGCAGATGCACTTTCCGGTGAAGCGGTCTATCTCCGCCGTATGTTGCTTCTCGCAATGTGGAGATATAAGTGTGCAGAAGGTACCCCAGTACGGAAAAAGGCAATCGGAAGATCCTGGATTCGCGCCATCAACATAGGCCTGCATATTGCACCAAGACCCAAAGAAGCCCTTGCGGCATGCTTTGCACCCATCTTTCGTGGTCGCTCCTATGCTATTGATGGAGCAAGAGGCTGCAAGCGAAGAACCGCACCATTTTCCAAGCTCTTCAAGTGTCATCAGAGGAAGTGCATCAGCATTACAACCATCAGTGCATGCGCTGACATCTTTGTTGAATAGTGTTTTGATGCCTGACCACCATGAGCTAGAGCTAGTCAAATGATCATCCTCATCATGGGCACTAAGAAGGGGACTGTCCTTTTTTTCCGGTGTAACGCACATAGGTATTTCGCAAAAGTTGCCCAAGAAGCCTGGAGGGCATCTGCCCTTACACCCAATCTCTGAGGTATCAGCTGAAACAGGGCAACGAGATCTCTGGCAGATGGGACCGGTCCAGCCGCGCTTACAAGCCTGCGCCCATATTTGGCCCTCCGAAACTATAGACATCGATTGATCATCGTCATCAAGCTCTCCAACATCCATGAAGAGCCCATTGCTTTCAAAACAGTCTTTCCCAAAAAATAGCGGATCTCGCCAGCAAGGATCAATGCATATGCCGTCTTTAGAGGCGGTATCGGTTTCTCCAGCCTGTTCATTGCATGATGTTGGTCTCGCTCTTTTATATTGGAGTTCTTCGCCAGTTGCCTCAATTTGAACAGAACAGTGCTCGCCTGTACGTCCCGGCATGCAAAGTGTCCCATAGCAGGCAGCACTCAGATATGCATCCTTACCTCCATTCAGGGGTTCTGTGATCGGGATGATTGTGTCATCTTTTCCTAAGAGCACCGGCTGGATACAACCAGTCTCCTGGCAAAGATTTCCTCCAAAGATTTCGTGGTAGCAAATGCATCCATCATTTGTTGGAGAGGGTACACCATGTTGACAGGTGCTTTGCAAACAGTAGGGTCCTCCCCATCCAGGCTCGCATTGAGCGCACCACCTGGGGTCAATATCACCTCCCTGTTGTTCCCACATCATCGGCCACTGCATACACGTGGATCTCTCACATTTTGAGCCCATCCATCCAGGATCACACTTGCAACCATGGCCATTTGGCAAGATCTTGCCATGTCCCCCGCAAATGAATTCGCTACCTTCGCAGTATGGCAGTGAATATTGCCTGGAATCACACGAAATGCATGTTCCATCTTCCCAATTAACGACGCCGTTCTGACACCGAGGCTTATCGCAATAAAACCCTTCAAATCCTGGCTTCAAGCATGGCTGAATGCAGGGCAGTTCCGGCCATTTTTCGTAGTTCGGATTTCCATGCACACAGTGGAGCTTGCAGTCCTTTGTGCAGCCGCTTCCAGGTTTTCCGTTCATTTCAGAACCCAAATCGCATTGTTCACTGGTGCCCTCCATGAAGAAATAGTAATGTCCTGGGTGGGTGTGGCCCCAGTTACAGAAGATCGGAACCGTCATAAACGGATCCTCGTAACCACAGATGAGAGCATGGGGCATCAGACTTGTATAGCGACGACCATATCCGTGTGAAAGCCCTGCATGTGGTGCTGTTAGCTCTACAATACCGTTTCCGCAGTAGTGCAAAAAAACATTCCGAGTCTCCATGCCTGAATTACAGGCACTTGCAACCAAAGGTCCCCAGCGGCACTCCCGCCAACAGCCTACCTTTTCGCCATATGGACAATCATAGTTCATTGGAGGTGTGAGCATTGGAGCATATGGGCCCCCCATGGCACTGCGAGCGCCATCGCCAAGTTGCTCAAGTGCCTTGAATTCACAAGATTCTCCGGTGTTAATTACCCCGTCTCCACATACTGCTGGGCGTAACTCGTCTGAAAATACTGAGCGTAAATAGTGTAACACAGGCATTGGTGTGCCAGCAGGCGCACACTTGGCTTTTTCCAGCAACCCGATAGCGTATTGTTTCCCGGATCGAGGAAGCGAGTGCAAATGGTAGAATAAATCCAGATTCCATCCATCATAAATATTGCCATCTCCGCCTGCAGATGCAAACGACTTATCTGGGTCATATCTATTATCGGGCCTGATGATATTCTGCATATAAAGCCCATAGTCAATGGGTAAGTAAAACTCCGAATAAATTCGCCTATGAAATAAGGTTTGCGGAGAAGGAAATGCATTTAGCCTTGCTCCTGAGTAAGAGTCTATGGATCTCCAATTGAGAGGTTTATATCTTTTTTCCCTTGCCAACTCATGGAAGCATATTTGATTTGAAGAAATGATATGGTCCTTGTTGAAAAGAACGCAAACGAAAAGAAAAAAAAAGCAGATTCCCTTATGGGACATATGATAGAGGTGAATATGAGGAATCAAGTGCTAGGATTTGTCGCTGCATAATGATAAGTACACCTGTTCGATTTCATCTGACAATCGGTCACATGGCAAAATGGCAAGGCGAATTGCAAATCGAATGGCTACGGTTTATCAAAACACCAACTGAGGATGTTTATACTGCAATTGCGCATGCCAACCCTAAAAGTAAATTCTACCAAATGTAGGGTTGGAATCCATATTTGGAGATCAAATCGATCTTGTGCAAAAATTAATCTTATCGCGAAATGGATGTTGTGGCGAAAATTGCGGCCATATAAACTTTTGTCTGCTTGGATTTACATAAATAACTGTGGACCTGCATATCGAATACATGGGTGCATGGCAGGCATCGCGCTACATGGCCCAGCGTGATGTATGTGTTGTATTCAATTCGGATTTGAGTTCGAGCTTAAAGTTGAATTTTCTACTACCAGAAGGGACACCTAAAGTGAGAAAAACATACTTGCTTACCATCCGACATAACACTGGCACAGATTTTCAATATCTGTAGCCTGGTCGATAAGCAAAGACACCTGGCTTTTGTAGTCCAAAGGCTTTTCTTGATGCTGGAAATCGGTTCCCGCCAGTTTTTCGGAAACTCTACTTATGGCCTTGAGCACCTTTATCGTGGCATGATCTTGAGGCATGCCATCTTCTTCAGCGACGGGCAAAAGGTCATCTATCCCTAACCAATATGCAATAAATACCTTTTGGCCTGTTATTTACATCATGGTCAACAATAGAAGAGGGCAATTCAATGAAAAAGGAGGAAAAGGCCTTTTTCGATAACTCGGGTGGATATGTTGACATTTGATCAGATATCGGTTCCGGAGTGCTTGATAGCCGCATGCTGATAAGGGGATCATAGATGAAGGCCTCCAGAACCGCCAATAGGCTCTCTTTGTTTGAGCGCAAAACGCGAAGAACGTGTTCGCAAATTATGCGAAACATTCCTCTGGTCTTTGACACCTCCATAGCATTTACAAGCATTCGAGTAAGCCGAAACGGGACCTGCTCTGGAAACTTTTCGCGATGAATGGACACCTACGGTAAATGATAAAAGCAGCCGATCCTAACCTCAAAGCAGTCTCCAAAATCGATATGTATGATGCGGCCGCTTTCGCGGTCGACCAGCAAATTTGACGGGTGACGGTCGCCTAGCCCAAGAACATATCCGACCATAGACATCAAGGCAAGGCTTTTCTGATACAAAGTACGCCTTTCAAGCCAATGTTCGGTGGACTTTGATTGCAGCCAAAAGATTTTAGACAGCTCATCTCCCGGAAATGTATTCAAAGCCGAAGTGAAGATCTCAATCTTGTGCAACATTGGGAGAGAATCATAATTTGACGAGTTCTACATCGAAAATGATAAATAGGCGCCGAAATACCTTGAGCATGTGCTGGTGCTCATCAATCAGGGGAATGTTGCGTTCCGAACGGTAACTCTTCAAAAGATCATGAATGGTATCGCAGCGCCTGACCCAACCGAGTAGTCCAGTGGTGGGCGAGATCGGAATCACAGGATACTTTTGAATTTGAAGATGGCGTCTTTTGGTTTCTGCATCCTCCAACAAAATGCTATTGACAAGGCCAAAAAACTGCATCACCCTTTCATCTTGTCGAAGATCTCCGTTTCCTACAAAGTGTAATTGTACCACGTACCTTTCAACAGAAATTTGTAAACCAACCCGTCGGAGCCGATTATTTTCAATTTTTTTGGTCTTTGTTTTGATTGGATCAGATTGATGGTCGGTTGAAATGAAGCTATGCAAACCGCCGCTGTGGGGCCATAAGAATACGTGCCTAATCGCATTAGGGGCCAAAAATACCTGGAACGGCTAGCTGAAAATCTCGCTGCGAAAATATGGAAGGGCTCACAGAGGAAAGGTTTATATCATGAAAGAGAGCAAGAGTTTGGCTCAACTGCTCAAATACATTTGTATACAAATCCCAGGCCAGAACTAGATCTTCAGAATTTTTTGAATGCAAGTAAGTAAGAATATATTCTCTCGCCTTTTTCAGGACAGATCCGTATTGTTCGATAAAATTAGCCTCGTCCTTGGTTTTGGGTTCTTGCTGGATTACTTGGTGGAGATAATCCAGTATTCGTATGGAGCCAGAAATATCCTTCTGCGCGTGATACAGCCTGCTGGCTTCTTCGAGCCCATCAGACCACAGCTCAGACCATAAAACAGCAACACGAACCAATTCATTGCAAATCAGGAGAGTCTATCAGCGGTAAATAAATTGGGGGAATCAAACCTGATCCACCAAAACAGGGGAGGACAATCTGATTTTGTTAAGCAATCCTATGGCAATGGACTTTCTTTGTGAATTGGTCGATTTAGATGCAACGGCAAGGCTGTACAGCAACGATTGCGGATGTGAATTATTGATTTCCAACAGCAGCTGATGTACAATTCGCCTGATCGAAATATTACTTATTTGGATACGAGCAATGAGCTAAGATGAAAAATGCAAAGTGGACATACTTGAGGTATGACTTGAAGCCATGCATCGATTGGCAGTATCGAGCATCCATTCAAAAAGGATTTTTGTATAGAGGGGTGCGAGCCATATTTAAATAGCAGTGTCAAGATGCGTAGCAAATCTTGGATCGACGATTCGTGCTTGTTAAGCGAAATGGACTTTATTAGCCCGGAAATGGCTGAAATGATGATGTTGATCAATGAGGAGCTTGTCTCACCATCACTGGATTTGGAGTCCTTAAAAAGGGAGTGGGGCGATGCGGGAAAATTTGAGCGAGCCAGTTTTGAGGCCGCTTTTGTCGAATCGTGTTGGCTAATTAGCTCGATGTTTGACAAAGCCCAGGAATACCATGACTTGTACGAATTGCTATCAAGCTGGATTGAAAATTTTTGAAGAGTGATGATGTCAGATGAAAAGGTACTTTCTTTCGAAAATAGATTCCGTTCCATATATAAGCCGGTGGTGCCTGCGGACTCAATAGAGCTGCTTCCCATTGCCTTTTTCCATTTAGAATACAACACTAGCAATTTAGATAAAAAGGCGTGAAGGTTGTTGGACACCGAAACATCGCTGTCTTTGGTGGAAAGAGTTTCCTTCGTAGATAGCTGCTGCAAATTCGACGTGATCGCCTCAACGCTGTTTTTGTCCGCCAAATTCCGGGATGCCAACATACCGCCATTCAATGGCTCAATTAGCTTCAAAATGTGGCTGCACACCAAAAACCCATTGCCACTAATGCCGTTGCAATCGCAATCTGGGCACAATGTTGCTATCACAAAAGAAATCAACTTGGACAAAACGGTGATGGACAGCTCATGCTTTTGGAGGTCGTTGAGGATCTTTGAGAGATTCAAAATCAAATGAAATAACTCGAAATTATTGTAAAATTCGACGAAAAGGCTCGAAATCGAAGATGAGCTAAATGCAGGGTCGCAAGACAGGCACAGCTCCAGCAAATTGATGTCGATTTTGAAGGATTTCACAAACAAAAACTCCAACACGCGAATGGATAGAAGAATGGAGCCTTTCTTTCTGCACATGTTAGCAAAGCGAACCCAATATTTTATGCTGACCGGCGACAATTCCGGAATAATAGACTGGATTTTAAGCAGCTGATACATATGTTCCAAAGAGGAAGAGCCTGCATATAGCCTTGCCGACCAAACTTGTTCAAGACGACTACGGTTGCCTAAATGCGGATAGCCGGATCTATTGCCAAAAAATTCGGCGACATCCTCTAACTCGGTGATAAGCTGGCTTTTCACCGTGACCGACAATGACTTTGTGTATTTCTCAAAGATGAAGGGAGAAGTTTCATTGTCTAGAAATGTTTTGGCAGACTCGATTGCGACGTCGTACGCTGTCCAGTTCTTAAAATACGTTGCCGTAACTGCATTCAAAAACGAAGAAAAAAAGTTTTCTTTCGAAATATATGGAAGGGTTTCGGCCAAAATGTCATACCGGTCAAGTCCCCACGAAGAGATGGCAATGAATGGAGCGAGAGTTTCTCTAAAATTGGTCAATGAAAACGATGAAGACTCCTTTATGGGCGTTTGAAACCACAGCAACCTACCAACGGTAATAAGACGACCCCAGTCGTAGGTGTTTTTTAAGCAGCGAAGCGCGCCAAAGATGTCGTTAAAAAACGGTATCGTTTCAAAAGCGGTGTTGCGTAGCGAGTAATCGAAAAGGGAATCAAAAAGATATTTCTGTGATGTTTGCGATAAGATTGATTTGATATTTGCACAGGGGAAGCTCAATACAGGCTTAATGGGCTGTTTTTCAAAGTTGAAGGTCGAGAAAGAAGCCAAAGGATAGCTGCTTGAATCCAATAGACACAAAAAGGACCCAATCGTTTCCGAAGGCTCCACAGCATCAATTTGGAAGATGTCTTTGAGCGCAGGATTGGCACCCCAATCTTTAGCTGAATGTATGGCAGAAATATTTGATTTGTATACAAGAAGCGCATCGTCCCACTTTTGCAGCTTTTCAAACCAATTTTCCTGCAACGGAAATTCATAATGATTTGCCAACGACAAAACCCCCTCGGCGGAATCATGTAAAGAGGCAAGTGAGTATAGTGTAATCAAGGGTTCAATGAGCTGGGGCGAAGGGGACGCCAAAAACTCGAGCTCTTTATATCTTAAAGCTTTGACATACAGCGAAGCACTGGCAGCGGCTGATGTTAGGATGGACAAATCGATTTTCAAAGGTTCTGCTCTTCTTTCGAAAAACTCGACCAAATCAAAAAACAAAAGAAAGATTTCTTCCGGCGCCTGTGGAGAACGAACAGCTTCTACAAAAGACCCTAAAATGTCGTCTTTAAAGTCCTGTGTCAAGTGGCACCAGCATGAATGGAAAGAAAAAGTAAAGAGTTCTCTCGATATTTTTGGATACATCGTGGCCAAGTTGATGCAGTTTCTTAACAAAACCGAGGGGGATTGTATCAGTAGCTCAAGGGTTATATTTTTCATCCAATCCAACCAATCCTCTTTGGAAGCGCGAAGAGAAGTATCCCAAGCCTTTTTGAGGACTAGCTGATTTAGCTTGAAAGCTTCCGGGGGCACCAATGAACATTTTGAAGATGTTAGCCGAGGCAACTGAGGACCGCCGGCAGAAGCCTCTTGCGGAAATCTTTTCGAAATCAGCGCATAAATACAAGTGGAGGGGGCAAACGAACTTTCATGCAGGCAGTCGGTTTCAAATGAACCGATAATATCCATGTATGCTTGGTCAAGCAAGCTATTGTTCTTGATCAAATCAGAATAGGAGGAAATTTTTTCCAGAATGTCGGTAAAAATAGAGGTAGCCTGGATCCCAGACATAGATATGATTATAAAAATGCTTTCCAATAGAGCCTCTTTGAACAGATCTTCGGAAGGTTTTGAATCGATCGAAAGAGACCTGAGCGTCCTCATCAGCGGGATAATGATTCTGGAAAAATGTCCGGTGATCTTCACTTTTGTACACAATAGTGTAATGCAATCAAGCGCCTGTCGTCGATAGAAAAATTGCAGGGCTGGATTTTCTACCATGCAAGTTATGTAGCCCAAAAATAGATGAAGATACTCCTCTAAGGATCTTCCCATGGCAGGTAAGATTTCAAAGATCTTTAAAAGTATGTCAATGCGAATGGACGTCGTACCGGAGTCCATAAGATTTAACGTGCTGTCGTCAACATTTCCATACAAAGGAGGCTTGGCTTGTACATGTTTCAAAGTCGAGGAGCCATGGGGTGTGATCAAGTGATCCATGATAAATTGGGACGAATCTTCAAGATATCGCAATAGAGCCTTGAAGATTAACTGCACGTATGGAAACATTTCGCTTGAAAAGATCTTTACCAAAGAATGGAGCAGCGAAAAAATGGTAGAAGACAACGAAAGCTCGTTCAATTCGAGAAGCTTAAATAAGTTTCCAAGAATTCGAGGCAAATACGGTCGAAAGTTATATTGAGCCACGCATGACAAGGTGATCAAATGATGGCATAAATTTTCCAAAAACGCGGAAGATGAGCTTGAAAACAAACCAATAAGCACGGAAAAGATCGGCTCATATAAAGAAGTTGCGGCCTCTCCAAGGGACGTAATAGCAAAGACGATCGTTTGAAGAGTGATTGTGTGATGCTGACAAAGCAGCGGGTCTGAAAGGATTTTCAAAAGAATTGAAAAGATATGATAAGCAAAGTGATCCTCGGCAATCATGCTGGATGAGGTTTTATTGCACAGCAACAAAGGGTGAGCTGCACCGTTGTGGTGCCTCTGACTAGGAATGCTGGAGATTTTGTCGGAAAATGTTTCATAATCAACGGGACCAATGTATCCCAAGTAAGAGATTGCCAATATCCGCGTTTTCTTATGAAGATCAAATCTAAGGACGGACAGGAGAGCATTTTGAAACTCCGGGAAAGAGGAATGTGCACTTATTTGGCAGGTGGAGGAGCGCGATATGTTTATAAAGCAAGATAATATCGACTGTCTGGCATTGTCAGCCTCATCTAGCAAGAATTTATCGACGGCAACGCTTTTTTGTTTTGGATACGTCAAAATACGTGTGGAGCTGTCCTCCATGGTCTCCAAAAACATTTCAATCAGCAACGACCAAATCAGATTGACATTGAAGCAATCCAGATCTTCTGAGGAAAGAAATAATTCACCAAGTGTTTCCAATAAGTGGGCTCTGTACGAAGAAAATGCCATGCCATCCGACTCCCTTAAAGAGGCATGCAAGATATCGAAAAGCTGCTTGATATATGGCCTCATGTATGAGTGAAAGTATTTCAAAAACTGCCTAATCATGTAAATCGAGTTCTGTTTCAACTTTGCATTGCTAGATGTGGCCATTAAGGTGTTGAGGAGCATCTCTATGCTTTGATGTAGGGACTTCAGGATGATCATGGGGTTTTTTTCCGAAATCTTAGAGATAAGGTTGACACAAGAATGTTGCACCGTGAACGATTCGTCATTTAACCCAAGAACAATCAGATCTGAATAGTGGGGATAGGAAAGTATTTCGATAAAATTCTTCTTGTTGAGAGACGTGTAAACGCAATTCCTGATTTCTTCGTTGAAATCAAGAAGCCCCACATTAAGGATACGGCCGATCGTCTCGTTTGGAGGTGCTTGACACGACAACAGTACCAAATCAGAACGGTTTATTGTAAAATATACAGATTTCTCAATTACATAACACAGGCAGATAATAGATTCTTCGCGGATCGATTTTGAATCATGCTTGATGAAATGCAGAGAGATCCCAAGAGAAAACACATCAAGGGACAGGTTATGAAAGTTAAAATTATACAGAGCCCGAAGGGAGGCGATTATTTCTTGAAAATTGTCTTTGGGCTTGATGAGGTCCAGATTGAAGGCGAGCAAGTACTTTGAGGTCAAGTTGGAAACCCCGATGTCGAAAAGTGACACCGATATGATTTCGAGAAGGTTATTTTGGATGTAGCTTAAATATTCCGGAAACAATGTGCTGATTTCAATCAGACATGACAGCAGTTGCTGCGTCAAGATGGGAATGCTTTTAGGAAAATAGGACGTACTTGTGGAGAAAATAATCTGAAGTATCTCGCTTACAAATGGGGAAAGCATGTTACTGCCTCCACAACATGATACTGCATTTTTGAAAAAATCGCATATGTAATCGTCGACCAAATAGGAGGCCGGCTTTTTCTTCAGCCTTCGTGTCAAAAATTCTCTGATGGAATCAAAAATGTCCCTAAAAAAAACAGTCATCGATTCCTTGAAAATTTGCACAAGTACGTCCTATT